ATGCAAAACTTCGATCATATGCAAGACCCTCAGCATGAAGAATCATCACCAACTTTAAATATATAGAATTTGCTAGACTTAAGCATGTAGAATGCTCTAGAGACTCATTACTTGCTAGAAATGAAGACCACCACCATTCATGAAAAATCTAGAGAATAAAATTGTTAAGCCGATGGAAGAATTCTACAGAAAAATGTAGGCAGTAAACTCCACCGCCATATTTTGCCTATATATGTGTGTTGGCTGAATGTATGTATGTGCATGAGGAGAGAAAATTAGGAGTGAGAGGAAGAGAGTGGTGAGCATAGAGAGAGACAGTAAAGTAGAGAAAAGTGGAGAGAGGTGTGAGAAGAAGAGAAAGTGAGAAAGCTTAGTGGCAATAGTGGAGAGAGTGAGTGAGTGGATTTATATATTATTTTGTGATGCTTCCATTAATTAAAAGAGAGGAGTGTACTTTTTGTTAAAAATTACTTTTTGTTTGGTCTTCAATCTCTACACAGCAGTCTCACTCCTAAGATGGCACGTGATGGGATTAATTGACTACCAGTATATAGAAGTGTCCGAGCAAGTGACGCCAATCTTGTAGACTTATAAGAATTTGGAAGGCTATAGAAGGAGGGATCAGAACGTGGCATTTTTAAACAAAGACTTAGTCGACGATGGATGAAGGTAATGTTATCATCGTCTGTATTATGAAGGATATAAAGAAACTTCTCCTTTTCAGATTTCCTCGCACACGTTTCGCAACAGATCATGGATGTCAATCGTTTTGATTTTGCCATCTACCTGCCACCGAAGAACCTGAACAAGATTTATGCTAACAAGGTCCTCTATGTACTCCTTTCCCACATCTTCCATGATTTTAGGTCTAATTTGTTTTAGAAATCCCATGGCTACCCATAGCTTGATGAGCTAAGAAACATGGATCGCATAATCTTCTGGAAAAATTGCCATGTTGAGAAAGCAAGCTTTCAAACGTCGTCCCAAATGATTATAACTTAATGAAGGTATCTCCAAGCATCTAGCGGCAGTAGCTGTAATCGAATATATATTCTCTGCAACATTCTCCCATACATCATATGTCCAGTCAAGCTTGGAGAGAAGTTCGCCAATCAAGACAATTGCTAGTGGAAGTCCTCGGCATTTCCTAGCAATTTCCTGTCCAATTTCTTCCAATTCGAGAGGGCAACAGTATTCCTTTCCAAATACCTCTACTGAAAGTAGCTCACAATCTTTGTCATCATCTAGCAAACGCATTTGATGTGGACAATTAATGGAACCAGCATATAAAGCCACGTTCATTAGCCAAGTAGTCAACACAAGTCGACTTCCATTATTGCTGACTGGAAACGACCTTATAAAATCATCCCAAGCTTCAGTATTCCACACATCATCCATTACAATTAAATATGAAAATCACACGGTTCAACCCAAATAACACCTAGAGGGGGGATGAATAGATGTTTGCAAGAAATTTAACAAATTTCAATTAACAATTGCAGCACGGTTTGATTATTAATTAGTCCAATCCAATTCTTTCCGGTTCCTAAAGATATGAGATGGTATGATTTTTCTAATACATGTATTTAAATATTTTTATTCGGGATTGCACCATAAATATTCATATCCTACTGAGTGTTCTCATATACTCACCATTTTCCCTACTCCTCACAGATTAGAACCGATCGTTGGTTGGCGGGCGATGCATTGAAATCGTGATACCAAGATTCATTGGATTTAATAAATCAAATTCAGTGTAACGTGACCAAAGATTTTATGTTCAGCATTTGTTTTATTATTATTATTATGTGGATCTATGATTTAGGATTTGTAACACAATTTATTTGATTATGTGTTTATGATTTATTATCATTATTTTATGGTGAAACCAAAACCTTATTCAAGATCAATAATTCAGAATAAAACACAATAAGGTTTATTTGATCTTATCACATGAAACGAGATTTTTGGAAGTTAGTGGGGTAAATGGGGCCACTGGAAGTCTAAATTGACAGTGAAATGCCTTATCAAGTTGTTACTGGTAGAAAATTAACAAGAAGTTGACGAAAGTTCCTTTTAGTAATTTATTTGTGCTAGTAGGTTTCCACACACTTACATTAACTTAACAAATTTGGTTTTGCGATAATAAACCAAGAGAATAAGTATTATACGTATTTGGATTCGTTTTATGATTCTTTAAATGGTTGGTTACAAACTTTAGGTCATGTTTAATTATGTTTTAATTCATGAATTTTAGATATAAATTTATTGTATCTTTCTAAATATATAGGAATAAAATATGATGGAGACACATGCTTGTTCTCTCCTTTTTATTAATAAGGGGTATTAAATTTTTATTTTGAGTAAACCACCTTCAAATAAATTGATAACCAATTATTTGTCACGTTAAATTTCTTTAAAAAAAATAAATAAAATTGGTAGCAATTCGAATTTATAAAAGTTGGGTCGTTATAAGATACACCTTATATTTATTATTTTTTTGTGTAAAACTGACTTCTGAAAAGTGTTAGAAATGAAATTGGAGACATGCAGGTAAAATACATGAGTTAAATGGATGCACATGTTAAAACATGTGACTAGAAATCAATTTTAAATTTCATGTGTTTATCTTATTATTCTAAATGTGGCTTTGATATTTTGAAATGCTTTAGAAAATTTTGCAGATGAGTAAATACTACATAATTTGTAATAGCACTACTTATATTGTGTTCATCTCTATGGTGATAGTGCTAATAATAATGTGATGCTAAGAAGGATTTACCCCTGATGAGTATCGATATGAAAATTCTCGTGAGGTGTGAGTCACACATGTCCTTGGAGGACTAACTTATGTAAGAGTTGCTATGAGGTCGTGGTTATGGGATTGGGCTATTCCGTAGAGACTCTTACTAGAATCAAGATTTGAGGGTATGGCTATTAACAACGCTATCCGCTATAAACTGAGCCTAAATCGATACTGTGTGTAGAACAATTGAAGTTTGACCAAAGGGATCTAATTCAAAGTTTAGTCCATTATGGCTCCCTCAAATGAAATTTGTTATCACTAAGTGAGATTCAAGTCCAAAAGACACATCCACCTATTGCATAGTATTATGTGGCCTCTATTATATATTTTAATTATTTTGAAAGTTTAAAACTTGTGGGGGATTGTTGTAACTTAAAATTAAGTTTTAACCTTTCATCATTTAACCTATTTAATTTTCTGTTTTTATTCACTTAATAATCACTTATAACACAATTAAAACATCATAATTCATGTTA